CATATACTGCTTTAACCGGATCCATTTACTTGTCTTGCAGTTATATCCTAGCCCAAGACTGGTCACAACCGGGTCCATGACAACTGTTCCCATTCCCAATCTGTGGCTCCCGCCGGCATCCTGAGAAGCGCACATAAGCTTTTCTGGACGTCGTGCTCGGACCAGGTGTCGCTATGCTTAATCCTGACCGTCTGCAGGCTTAGCAGTTGACTGTGGGTGTGCCATCTCAGGCTGCTCTCCTTGGTGGGATCGAAGCGTATGTATACGTCCCTCTGTGCAATCTTGGTAGGGCCTGTCACAATCGAGGCCATAGCCTGTGCCCCGGGCGGTAGGGCTTCTGCAATGCGGGATTCCAGCTGCATTTGCAGAATCCCTGCCGCAGCATCCGACGTGCAGTTTTTTGGGCTAGTCCAGAACGACGACCAGCCTTGCAGCGTGACGCCCCCTTGTCTTCCATTTTCCGCCGGTGACAAGCCTACTTCCCGTTTCTCATTTTTCTTTCGAATGGGGATGAGCAGCGCAGCCTCTTGAGACATGGGGCCGGTGTCACCACCCATCTCAACGAGCTGCCTCAGCTTTCTTTTCCGCACCAAGTCGAGCGGAGCGTTCTCCTCCGGGTCCGGAGGTTCCGGTTCCGGTGGCGGAGGTGGGTGTTGGAGAACCAGGTCCGGCCCCGGGGGCGGGGCAGGTTGTTGCATAAGCGGGGGGTTTTGGAGCTCTTCTCCTTGTGTTCCGTGCTGGCTGGCTTCTTTCATTGCTGCAGCTTGTGGTGCCTGGAACCGTGCAGACAGAATTGTGTCCAATCTGTGCCATGCATCGGACCATTTCACCCCCGGTTGCAGTCCCTTCTCCAGCACATTTTTAAGTGAGACGCTCGTGTCCAGCACGGGGAAGAGATCCAGGTATGTCTTGTCCCAGAAGTCATCGGACAGGGGGCCATGCTTTGCTTTGAGATTGGCCATCAGCCAGTCCGCTATGGCAACCAGCTTCTGTTCCATGGGTAGATCCAGCGGCAGTGCACCCTCTTCCTCACCTTCCCGGTCACGCTCTGGGGCCAGTCCCTCCGGTGACATGCTAGCATTATCCGGAAGGGGGTCCACATCCATAGGATCCAATCCAAAGGCTGCTTGAAGGGGGTCGGTATCCCCTGTATGGCCTTCCAACTGGACCCCATTTGCAGTCCCCTCCGATATTTCTGTTTCCTCGAGATGCTTCAGCGTCACCTCCTGGGCCCCCGTCGGTCGGACTCCTCCTTGTTCCAGGCTAGGGATGTTGCTTGTGGTGTCTGATTGAGGGAATTGAGCAGACGACTCCCCAGCCCGTTTGTTTTTACTCTTTGTGATCTGACTCATCTGAGGTACATTCTGTTCTCTGGTGGCTGCTGCACTCTTCTCTTCCTGGATGTAACTCCCAGCAAAGGGGCCCGGGGTGGCGCTGGGTTATCGTCCCGCAATCGATCCGGTTCTGTCTGCTGTTTTTGGACCCAGATTTCCTTCCCACCTTTCTTCCCTGCTATTTTCCATCCCGAGTTCACCCGGCTCTCCTGCAGAGGGCTTGCTTGTTTGTTCTGAACCTTTTCCATGTGTTTGAGGGACGTGTTCCCCAGTCTGGTTCACCGGATCTTTCCCATACCCATCCTATTGAGGAACCTTCTTTCGTGCAGTCCTCAATATAAACCCAACCTTCGTGTCCCGGGTCCACTGCTCTCCAATGGGTGACTTTTATTGGGTCCCGCAGCAATCTCCCCGTTGCTCTTGCCCTTTTCTGTGGATGGAGCAGGCACGCGTACTCGGTGCTTAGATGGCCGTAGGCTCTGCATTTATGGCACCATGGCCTCAGTTTGGGTGCAGTATGAATCATGTATTCCTTTCCTCCTATCCGATACGGAATCACATCATCAAGGGAGAATGGTTGGCCCTGAGGATAATCCAGGGCCAGCATCAAGTAATCATCCCTCTTAGCCACGAAGGAGGGAAGGGGGTTGATGAAAGCAATAATGTCGTACTGCAAACCGAAGTCATATACAAATGCTGCCTGGATTTCGACAGGGATATGACGGAATTCCACCCAGAAGAAATCCTGCATCAGCTGTGCCCTCCTCTCCTCCGGTCCCATCCTGCGCTGTGGCATCCAGGGGTAGATCCGGACCTCCGATCGTTCGCAGCGGAGGTGCTGCCATCCATCTATCGCCTTCTTGTCTGATTCGTGCATGCACAAGACTGTAACCGTAGTGTTGGAGACGGGTTGTGCCAAAAATTGATCCCGGGCCATTTCCGCGCTGTTTTTCAGAACTTCAAGCCGGCGGCCAATCTGCTTGACTTTGTCGTTGACTGACTTGAAGGCAGCGTCGTCATGAAACACCCAATTACCGGCATGTTTCATGTAGACCTCATCCCTGCAAGCTATCCCATTCTGGGGGTAAGCTTTGACCATGACTTGCTTGCCTCCTTGTGACACGGCCCTTATTTCCGACGGTAGCAGGAATTTGGTCATGAAGAAGGCCCTCGCTGATGGTAGCCCTCCCAGGGGGATCTCAAGTTTCCCAGTTCTTGGACTACCCTGGCTCCGCTGGATGGTGAGGGCTCTACCCTGGTGCGGGTTTCTGAGTTTGTCCGCCCAGGTGGCCTGTGGTTGGCCATCACACGTCTCATGACTGGAGGGGAGAGATTTCACGTGTTGTTCCATCTTCTTCTCCTCCTCCGTTAGAACCCCTGTGTCTTCAGACTGCTGTCTTGCCTGGCTCATGCTTATTTCGTTTTGTGGAGGGGTTCCGGGGGCGGTGTTATGTTGGGACCATCGTTTATGTTGAAGGCGCTCGTCTGCCAGCTGTCTCATTGCCCCACTGTAAAAAAGCATTGAGCCCAGTCGTTTGTGAGCCCGTTGCAGTCTGTTGATTGGCCTCATGGTGGCGTGGTTTGCTCACTCTTTTTCAGAAACAATGTTTTCCTACTTTTGGTAGTTGTTTGCTTTGGGTTCCTTATTTTTTGTGTTTTATTGTGTTTTATTGTGTTTTGTTTTGTTTTATTTATTGCACTCATTACGTATTTGTTACGTATTTATTTATTTGTTGTTTGATGTTTCGGTTTATTTATTTTCTCTTCTTGCCCTTTGCTTCCCAGTTCATACTGATCCAGCAACACCAAGGACTGGTTGGAATGTGTAAGGGGGCTGCCAGTGTACCTTTGTTGCTCTGTTACTCAATCACTGCCCGGCCTCCCTCTGTTCCTCTCTCTTCTTCTGTCCTGTGTGGGTCAGTATTATCCTAAACGACTCCGTCAGTCAAATCCTCCCCCGAATTCCCAATTCTGAGTCCATCGGCGATGTCCTTCACCTCGATCTTCCTCCCACCATCTTTCTTTGTCTTCCCCTCCCCCGTGACTCCTTCCCAGTACAACTCCCCAGCCTTCCGCTTCCTTCCGTTGCCCTTCTTTCCTTCTTCCCCAGTTTCCCCCAATTTGTGAGTCAGACGGCGGTGCCTTCTGCCCTGGATCGTGGTGCTGCTGTCTTCCTCCCACTCCAGAGCGATACCCAATTCACCTGGTCTGTCGGCGCCGTCTTTTCTCGTGTTCTCAACCCCGCCGCTCACCTTCCGTCCCCTTCTTTTGCTATTTCAGCAAGCGTTTGTGCCCAGGACTTCGCCGCCTGGTTGTTTCCAACTTCCCCTGTTCTTCTCGCCCACCCTCCCAGAACTCTTTACGTCCTAACCCTTGTTCGTCCCAGTAACGTCCTGACCCTTGTTCGTCCAAGTAAGACCATCCCTTCTGACCGTGGTCAGTCCACTCCAATCAGTCGTCGTGTTGTCACTTTGTCGTCAACCATCTCTTCTTTGGATCTTCGTCAACCCCCTGTTCATCACTCTTTTCCGAAACGTACCTTTTTTGGATGGGCGCACTCACAAACATTCGCCGTGTTGATGCTTTTTTCGTTGCTTCCACTGCCGATGTCCTCCCGCTATATCGTCTTGCTGCCACTCCCTCGTCTTAATCTGTGCCCTGTGTCCTTTCGCAGTGTCGTCGTTTTTTTGCGCTCAAAGTCCATACGCAAATCGCCTTCTCACGCACGCAATGTTCTCGCCTCTCCCGGGTCCGCGCGCGTGCGATTCGCTATGTCAGGAGCCCCCGTCTCCCCGTTGGGCAGGGTGCCTACTTGCTCGAGGCCCCCTCTCCCGGTCACCCTGGTCGGTGATGGCTCTTGGCTATGGACAGCCTCCCTCCTCACCTTCCCACTGTGAGCCGTGCCCACGAGCCCCGACGGACATCGCTGATGCCCCGCAGTTTCGCCCTGCGGCGGTTCAGCATTACCGGCACAAAATCTCAGCCGTCCAGATCTCGATGCAGACTAAGGCCCAGATTGGTCTGAAACCGAATTCCCTCCGGCCTGGATGCTTGTCTGGGTACCTGCGCACAACAAGTGAGTGTACCCAACCGAGGGCCTTGGTGCGGTACCTTTGACTCTACAGTTGACTTTGACCTTTGAATTTCCTGTGTGCAGCGTTAGGTCACACAGTCGAACGTGACAGACTCAGGCCTGGGCGTGTCTTGGTCACACAGCCCAGCGCAGACCAACTCGGGTCTGCGTTGCCTGGGGCTGAGTTCTGGGCCCCGGGCTACTTCTGAACAGGGTTACTGCAAGGAGTATACCTTCCTCTTTACTCTGCCTCCTTTCATGATGTGCAAGTGGGCCATTAAGGCACACAGAGATGTGGGCAGCTGCCGCTCAACCACAATCAATGTTGGCAGCCGTGTACGTGTGAGGCACAGTAAAAGGGGATCTGCAAGAACAAATGGAAGGGGTACCCCAAGGAAAACCAAAAAACTGTCTAATTGTGAAATTGCTTAAATGTTGGACTGTCTCAGCTCAAGAGCTCTCATGGTCTGCAATTGGACTAAAGCTGCTTGGATTCTGAATCTATTTATCTGGGTGACAACGGGGGCTGTTGTGGGGAAATTTTAAAACACGCAACAAAGGAGTCGCTGACTTAAAGGTCTTTTCCTGCACAGGTGATTTATGTCTCTCCTCTTGATGAGGCTGGAAGGTTGGAGACGTTGCAAGTGCACACGAGGCCAATGTCACTCTCACGGGATGTGGATCTGAATCTCATTGCGAGGTCAACAACATTCTTCACTGGAGCGGAGATTGCAGGTCTGTGCCGGGAGGCTGCAATGTCTGCGCTTCGAGAAGATATTAATGCGGACGCAGTTTCAAGCCGGCACTTTGAGAGTGCATTGGCAGGCATCCAACCGTCACTTTCACCATTGATCCTTTCAAGCTACGCCAGTTTTTTGAAGAACGTGAACAGAAGAAACTAGTAATTAATGATTAAACTCGAAACCAATGTTCTCTCCTGAGAGGGCCTTTTTCTAATGTGCTCGAGCCACTGGGTAAATCACCCACTAATTGGGCCTGATTTTTGTTGGACATGCTTGTGTTAGTCTGTGACTAAGAGCAGGAAAAGGTGGAAGAGAGAGAGAGAGAGAGAGAGAGAGAGAGAGAGAGAGAGAGAGAGAGAAAGAGAGAGAGAGAGAGAGGATGGTAGCTTTGGACTTCCTCTTGGCTGCAGCCTGCCATTCAGCCATGGAGGTTTGCATGCATGAGCGCATGGTCTTATTGTGCGAGATGGGACCACCATAGAACCGATAAGCTCCGCCATCCTAAATGTCAAGCAGCTGGGATAGCCCCAAGGCCATCAAGGCCGTCTGCTACGACACAATGCCGACACCCAGATGTGAAAGGATGCCAAGCAAGCACCTTGATCCGACACGAATTCACGCAAGAAATGTCAATCTCAACGCAACACGAAAAGGAGTGGTGGTATGGGTACCAGGTTGAGTGAATTCTTCACTCGTGTTTTGAACCATGCGTTTTCAATACACAGGTGGATATATCTGTCCATCCCAGTGTGTGGCTTCGAGCGGCAGATTTGACTTCCTCTTTGGCCACATTCTGTCATTTGACCACTGGAGAGCGATTTTTTTTTTGGTGAAAAACGAGTGGAGTATTTTCATTCGCTAGTTATAAATTTCTAGACATTTCTCTCTCTCGAGGGTTCTCAAGTGCATCCCTTCGCTGACGACTGCCCACACTGAGACAGTTTTCATTTGGGTGGATACTCGGAGTTCCCGGTATACATCGGGCCTCGCGCCTACACATCGGGATCAAAAAATGTTGGCTGGCGTTCTGGAATCCCGGAGATGGGAATTGGCCCATGCTCTGTCTCAACAATTTCCCCTTGGGTACTGTGAAAACCTCGTAGGGATAACGACCTTCTTGTTGCCTCTCTACGTTGGCTTCCTGTGATGCGCCTGTCGGTCTGCACCTAGGCAAACGCAGCATACAGGTGCACGTTTGACTGTTGGTATGCACCTGGCAAACATAACATACAGGTGCACATTGTGCAGCTTCTCAGCCGCACGTCTAGCGACCTTTCCCTTGAAAGCACCACTTGAGCATTCAAAATCTTCCCCTACCTTGTTTTACCAGTCAGAAATTCCTGCAGGCATTCCAGGTGGCTGCATAGGGTCTCATTTCCAACTCCAAAAACACTGCCATGTTGGTGTGTATGCCGAAGAAATGAGTTCCCCAACACATGCTGACACGGAACATGTACCGCAAGTTTGGCCTCGTCTTTCTGGCATGTGATGCTACTGAAAGCGAGTTCAAGCACCACTGGACCCTGAGGCCCAATCGCCGAAACTGCAGGTTAGGTTTGGAAGTTGAGGCGGCTGCTTTATTGCTGCCATAATTTGGTTATGTACAAAATGGTCACCATACTCTGCCTAGATAAACATCCTCAGGCAGCAATTCTGTGTTTTGGATCGCCTGTCCTCTGATTCAATGTTCTACTGTTGCAGGGAGGTAATCCTCTGCTGTACACGAGGGCAATCAGTAACTGCGAGGGGGTGATCTATAAGTAAAACACAACTGTTCAAAAAAAAAAAAAAAAAAATGAAAAAAGGTAATATTTTGCAGATTTTGGATAAGCCGCCCAGTTTTAGATAAGATGCACAATGCCGGGGGCGCGGCGCTTCCGGGAGCGCTGCGCCCCGCCGCCCGCAGCTGGAAACTCGCGCGCGTAAAGTGGTCGTAGGGTGTAACGCGGGTAGGGGGTGATCGGACGGCGGGAGGACGGGGAGATGGAGCGCGCCTCGGCGTCCCCTACTTTTGAAAGCACCTCGGTGCCATCTCCGGCTTGCGCTTCACTCAGTGGTGTCACAGGTTGGCGCGTTGGGTGAAGGGGAGTGTACCTTCGAGAGGCGTATGAATTTTGGCGCTAATACCATCGTCATCATTCTTGTTATCATCCTTGCCATCATCATCCTTGTCATCATCACCATTTCATCGACCTTAGTTCTGGGTGTTCGTCAGTTGATTATCATCTGTTTGTAGTTATTAGTGGGCGCTGGCGCGTCATCATCTTACACGATCGTCACAATCTTACATGATTATCATTATCATCTCGATCACTGTCACATCAGGAATATCATCCGCATTATCATCATCTCGTCAGTATCATCATCATCATTATCGATAGTACCATCTTTATTGCTATTATCACTACCATCATCATCATCATTATCATCAGACTATATCTCAGGAATATCATCAGCATTATCATCATGTCGTCGCTATCATCACTACCATCATCATCATCATTATCATCAGATTATATCGCAGTCGTAATCGCAGGGACTGTTCATTATCGGTTGTTTTCTAATTGAGAGGTGAGTTGGCAGTATCATCATCTTCATTCAACAAAATCTAAACGAACAATATCTTGGTAAGCATGGCGCAAATAATTGTAGTCGGCTGGATTGGATTATTCCCGGATGGTTGATTGGGTGGGTAAGGGGTGGGGGGAGCTCCATCCTGCAGAGGCATCGCAAGGCGGGGGGCGAATGTCTCAAAAGGGGTAGGGGCGAAGTAGGGGGTTGCCCTATTCCGGGGCAAGGGGCTGTGTGTGTGGGTCAACATTAGTCCCTGCGGAGGCGGAAATGGGCAGGGGATGGGGGGGCATGCTTTAGGCGGGAACTGTATGCTCCTGGGGAAAGGGGGGAGGGGTTTCGGTCCTATATTGGGGCCGAGGGAGAGTGGGTGACTCCCCTCAGCGGAGGCAGTGTAGGACTGAGGGGGGAGGGGTAGGGGGTGGGAGGGGCGATCTCTGACGAAGAAACTTATCATCCAGTTTACTACTACTTGGTTGCCTTTCGAGGAGGTGGTGGGATAGGTGTTATCTGGCAAATCCACTTATGATCCTATAAGGGATGGTTGAAAAGTCGGTGGCCCTCGTGGATCGATGCTGGAGCAACGCTGGCCGGAGCTGGAGCCAGGTGGCGCAACTCTGTGACCTAGCTTAGTGGGGGCGTGAGGCCTGGTAGAGAGCTCTGGGGGGCTGTTTGGGGGCAGTGGTCATCGGGGGTCGTAATGGGCGCGATGTTGGCCTGTGCTGGAGCAAGGTGGTGCAACTCTGTAACCTAACCTGATGGGGGCATGAGGCCCGGAAGAGCTCCGGTTCGTGCTGATTTTAGCCATACTGGCGGTGGTTGTAGGTTGATTGAGTAGGTTTCACCTATTCGCAGGACCTCAGCGGTAGGCTACTACAAGAGTTATATCCTAATTGGCATCAGAGATCTAGGATCTGTTCCATGCTTTTGAGTCTTGTCGTGCTTATAGATGGCTTTCAGTGTGTAGGTTGCATAGTTTTCATCTTTAGCCGAAGCCAGGGAATGGCCCTGGTATCTTAAAGGTTTCTGCAAAATTTCTTCAATATGTTTTTGAATGGGACGCTGGGCCCGGTTCCCAGCACGTGTTGCTCCCCACGAATAGATTGGAGCATGTCCAAAAAGAAAAAAGAAAAAAAGAAAAAAAAAGCACAATGCCCCGCTGAAATGACCCGACTCCCAACTCTCAGCTAAAACACATGCTGCATTTCCGTTTTTCAATCGAAAGAAGCAATATTTCACAGATCTCGCTGTATCCGGTCAATCGCAACAAGATGGGCAAGTGCGGCTTCGCCAGCTTTGTACGCCGTCTGAGAAACGGTCAGAAACCACACTAATTAAAGACTACAAATTTGGGTAGCTCCACACCCAAACCCGTGCGGAATTATCAAGTTGTAAAATTCCATAACCATATGGCACTAAGACACTCGCCAGAACACAAATGCACACTCCACACCCTTGCACATCAGCACAACATTCGCAAATCCACGATACATGACGACACTATGTTCAAAAACACTTAGAACCGAACCAGGAATGACATTGGTAAGCCCATTTTTCTACCACGACCAGCAACACCTTTCCCATTATTTTACACTCAACCACACACAAAGCAGCAGTAACACACAAACCAAATCTGAAATCCCGGACACACTGTATTTCCCGACAACAATGTTCAGGTGAGTGACAAATGCGAGCGGTGTGAAGGAACACAGACACATCTAATTTTTACCCCGCGTAACGGCAGGATAAATCACCGCTTGCAGTCCAAATAACGACACATTGCCATTACCTCTCAAACAAATGGCACTGTACAGAACACGAGTCCCACGACAACAACTTGCTAGCAATTCACCGTAAATGAACCCAAATGCAAATTCCAAACATGAACACCATACCCCAGAATTCTTTTTTTTTTTTTTTTTTTTTTAATATAACAGACCCTCTCGGTTCTGGCTCCTGCCATTCTGGGGAGCAACAGTCCGGTTCCTATTCCCCCGGCAAGTCAGATATGAATACAGAGAAAACACGCGCACGCTCCTCCCCATTATGGCTGAGAGGCCCGAGTGGACGCCATTGATTACTTCCGTAGGGAAGGATGTACCACCCCTCACCCTTGCCTAAGTTAGCCTATATCTACTACCTTCTGTTCCTCTGAGCTGCCTAGCTCCTAGCTCTTCTCAGCTGAGTTCTGTTCGGATAAAACTGAACGCTAGAGCTGATGTCGGGGGCTGGGATCTAAGGGTTTGCTTAAACAATTATTTATACCCGCTCTTCCCCAGGAACTCGAAAGAACTTGCCCACTTCTCGAGCTCTATGGTGTTTTATCCTCTGAACTCCCTTTCTCCCATCTTTTGGGCTGTCAGGTACTCTAGATCCTGTCTGTACTGCTGTTTCTGCCTTCTGCCTTTTCTTAAACCCTAAACCCTAGGCTATTCGGGTCGTCTGTTACGCGCAGATTGTAGCTTTTTCCTGTTAAGTCAGTAAGGTTTCTAGAGGGTTTTGCCCTTTTTTTAAGTTTTTTGCCGATTCTTATGGATTTACCCGTAAGGTGGGATTCTTTATTGAAGTTTATTCCACTCTTCTTTTTTCCTTTTTTCTTCCCTTACGTTTCCTAAGCCCTCTCGAGTCCTTGTACACTTTTCTTTTATGCATCTACTTAATCCTAAGCCCTGGCCTTCCTTCCCTTAGGTGTTCCCTCTGCGGCGTTAGGCCCTTGGCCTTCCTCCCCTTTCTTGGCTTTCTCTGTTCTATCTTGATTTCAAGTGGGGGAGGGGACGACTTCTCGGTTTTCCTCAGTACTCCTAATCTAAGGACTTTTTATCCGTCCCGGTCCATGGATTCCGTCTCTGTGTTTTCTATTCTTTGTCCGTCTGCACTTGGCTCGCACCAATTCGTAAAGCAGATCACTCTTTCTGTTATTCGTGCTATTAAACCTTCTTTCAACCATGTTTCTTCAATTTCTTTTTGCATGCTAGTCTTCCTTTGGATGTCCTCTTCTTTGTCAATTTTCCTTAGTGTATGCTTCCATTCTACTCTAATTTCCGTTTCCATCAATTCTTTGGCCTCCTCCCAGGATTCATTCATGGATATTCTCTTTTTTCCTATTGTTCCCCCGCATCTTGCTTTCCATATTACCCATAGTGTGGTTTTCCTCATCAGTTCCAACAACTCCATATTCTCTTCTGGGGCCGTGTTTTCCAGATCCAAGGTCGTAAGCAGGAGAAACTGGTCTGTTGGGAAGTTTGAGGCGGTAATGTTGAACCAAACTCTTTTGCACCTGTCCTATAGGGTTGAGGTGTGTTGGCAATCTAGTAGGCAGTGGGTTAGCGTTTCCGTCTGATGCTCCGTGCACATTTGGCACATTGCAGATGTTGGTGATCTTTCTTCCTCCCTGCGTCTTTTATCCAGCCAGGCATTTACCGGAAGTGCGTGATATATTATTAGCCATTGTAGGCTTCGTATCCTTTGTGGTTTCATTGAGGAATAGTACGTCCATGGGATTGAGCTCAGTCTGTTTGGGTCTATTTGGAGGTCCTTCTCCCACCTTGTGGTTATTGCTGGGAGTGGGTTTTCTGCCTTGCATCTGGATTTGTAGCCCACTTTAACTGTGTACTCGTGCAATGCTATCCACTTCTTGGCTCTACCCCTTCCCCTTTCTTCGTACCAGCCCCATTCCCTAGGGTCTACTTCCAATTCTGTTATGTCCTTGTCGGGCCTGAACAGCCAGATGGGGTCGTTCTCTTTTCCTCTCCTCTTCTTTTCCCTCCTTTGCTCATTTTTCAATTCTCTGACTTTCCGCAGGTCCTGGGTGTTGAATTCCAGCTTTATTAGTGGGTTTCTTCGCACTTCTGTAATTGCCTTCCCTGTTCCTTCTAACTCGTGAACCTCAAAAGGTTGCTATATCTCTGGTTGCTATATCTCTGTCAATCACTGACTGTTGGATGAAACACAGGGCTACAGAGGGCGTGTTTTGGCTTTTTAAAGTTGCCCAATCCCCCTTTTTCCATGACTTGTCCTTTTCAACAGCTTTCTCCAGGCTATTGGTATGCTGTCTATCAGTTCTTCGAGGTTCTTTTGT